CCTACCCAGGGACCAGGGCACCCAGGATCCATCCTCTTGACCAAATGGCTCACTGAGGCCAGGGGACCACAGACTTCCTAGGAGTGCCTAACCCCTAGGAAAATCTCACAGCAAGCATGCCAGTCTTTCTACCCGCCCCCAACTCCTTACCCTAGGATCCGACATCCAACCCCACCTCCTAGGAGCCAGCAGAGGGAGCTCTGAGCCCTGGGGCTGTGGGTGGGGGTGTGTGGAGGTGGGGGAGGTGAGTGGTGGAAAGGGGGCAGAAAAATGTTGCCTGACGGCTGCTGAGGCTGCCGGGCCTGTGCCCGCCCGCCTGTCCTGTCCTGCTCTGTCTAACTCCTAACTCGGTAATTACTGCTCCCCTCCCCCAGTCCCTACCCCCATCCCAACCACCACATCAAAGCCAGTGATGCCCCAGTCCATTAACCCCTGCCTCCCCACTGCCCACCTGTGGCCCCCCAGTCGCCACTCGCCCTTCCCCACGCAGACACATTTGGTTCCCTGTGTCCTTCCTCACACTTTTGTCTTTTTTTTTCTTTTTTTTTTTTTTTTTTTTTTTTTTTTTTGAGAGGCAGGGGCTTTCCCTTCCCAGACAGAGTTCACTGTGCAAAAGAACTTCCTGCTTGCCAAAGCTCCGGAGGCAATGCCCTCCACTGGATGCCTGCTGGACAGTTGTCATACCTTCTGCTCTTCCGTGTAGAATGGCAAGCACTCTTCTGAGGGTGGGATGGGGGAGGGAGCAAGGAGCCCGTGAAAGCCTTGTCCCTCATCTTGATTCCCACCCCCATCACACACAGGAGAGAGCACTGAGAAAGAGGCAGGGCTCAGAGCCCCAATCTTAGTTACCAACATGCAGGCTTAGCACTGGGCAAGTCCCCTCCTGTCCCTGGACCTTCTACCCTCACTACTGACCATAACAGACTAGGTTACTTCTCGGTCCTTTCTAGATCACATTCGAGATTAAAACAGAGGGCTCCGGGCGGGTATAACCAGCCAAAGTCTCCTCCTGGCCGCATTTCTCAAAATGCCGGGCTAGGGGGCGCTCTCACCAGTCTGCAGAGTGTAGGCGTCCGGTTCCCTGAGGCCTCCTGCTGGCTGGCCTGGGCTGGCTGCTGCCCGGGGCCGTTCCCTCCGCAGCTGCACTTCCCCATCAAAGTACACATTCTGGAATCCCCCTTGCAGGGCCCTGGTGATGGGGCCTCCCACTGACCTCCAGCCACCAACTCCTGGCTTCAGATGCGAACGGGGCAGGAGGGAGCCTCACACCCCCAGCCCCCACTACACCCCAGGAAATGTCACGGTGCCAGGACTCTGGTGGGCCCAGGGCATGCTCTGGCCGGGATCAAGCCAGCGTCCTTTAGCCCCTGCCCTTTTCTGCTCTTAGCCTCATTGTCTCCCCAGAAGGGAAGCTGCCAAGGCTGAGGCCTGGAAAAGGGACTGGATGGCTACCCCACCCCCAAGCCATCCCTACTCTGGAACTTGGATGTGAGTAAGCCTCAGCTTTGGCCAGGAGGGGTCAAGGGCTCCAGATAAAGACAGGATGGTCTAGTGACTGGGACGAGTATGGGCACACAAAGGAACAGCAGAGAGCATCCAGAAAGCCCGAGTACCAGCAAGAGGTCTGGTCCTTTCCCTGCCTCCCTGTTGGGTCAGCAGCGAGCCTGCCCCTGAGCTTTAGCTAAGTGGATGACTGGGTGTAGACTTCTTCCTGGTGAAACAGGGGAGAATTGGTTTTGCTCACAGAAAATAGAAAACAGGGAGGAAAGAGGAAGGGCGAAGAAGGGAGATTGACTTGGCTCTTCTGTGAGAGTGTGCTATCTTCTACATCCACTGATTGAAGGTAGAAATAAAGATGGCTCAGACATTGTGCAGAGGGGAGTAGAGGAGGAGGGGGGACCTGGAGATCCAGGAGCCAGAGCCTCTTTCCTGCCCTTACTCTCAGGACAGAGGGAGGGCAGAACACAGGTTGGATGGCCTGGAGGCAGGAACTGAGCAAGATGACCTCGGGAGGGCCTGGCCAGTGTCCTGGAATCTGGGATTCTGGGATTCACAAAGATATGGTTACACTGGAGATACACAGAGGCTGGCGGCAGAGTTTGGAAGGCATGCGCCGCCACATAGCAAGACCCTGTCTCAAAACTAAACAAGAAAAATTAAAAATAGAAATCTTGCATTGCCTTGGGAGGAGGTGGAGGGGAGAGAAAGGTGGACGATAAATGTTGGAGCCAGACGGCCTGGTCCCTGAACTGACTGATCCAGGGCCCGGGTCACTCTCCTCCAGGACCCTCTTTTGGGGGGGGGGGATTGGTTGTTCTGTTTGTCTTGTTTTGTTTTGAGACAGAATTTCTCTGTGTAATAGCCCTAACTGTCCTGGAACTCGCTCTGTAGACCACCTGCCTCTGCCTCCCGAGTGCTGGGGTTAAAGGCATGTGCCACCACTACTACCCAGCTCAGGACTCTCTTTTAGTGGCCCAGGCAGTCAGAGTCTTCTGAGCCTCTCTCCTGACCACAGCTCGATTCTGGAAATGGCTACTGTAGGTCACACTGCTTTTCTGGTCACCCACTGAGTTTCTAGTCATCTTCCTCTGAGAAGGGAGAGCCGCACAGAAGGTCCTAGACACCAGTTCTGAAGGACCTAGCTCTAGTGAGACTGGGGAGCTAGGGTAGTAAGTGGCCAAGAACCCCAGGCTAATACCAAGCAAGACTTCACCCACAGGCTCAGGCCTGGCCTGGGAAGGCTATGGGGGGGGGGGGGAGCATGAGCAGGAATCAAAGACCATGGAAGTCAACCTGGGCTCAGACCAAAGGAATAAAGTGAAGGGGCCAAGGCAGGTGGGAGGCGCAGGTTCTTGCTGAAACACAGCTGAGAGAGAAGCATGTGCTGGCCACCTTATCACGCTGGCCCTCACTCTTCACTCAGCTCCCCACTGCAGCTGTGGCCATGAAGGCCCCTGTGTTCTCCCACACCTGCCCTCCTCACCTCCTCCCCCACTCCCTGCTTCCCAGCTTCAGGGTCAATCTCCAGAGGGTCCAGGCCCCTCTCCCTCGGCTTGGCTCCCACCCAGCAGTCCTTCCTAAACAAAGGAACCCTCACAGATACAAACCCAGAAAACCTGTGTCTGGCACCTATGCTATCTTGGGCTTCTAGAACTGTAGAGACAAAGGAACAGGACAAAAAGACCCCCAGAAAAGACAATTACCAGTAAAGTGCGGTAACTTCACAGTTGCCCAGTGCTCAGAGCATGGTAGTAGCACCGGATTGCAGTGGGATGGAGGCCACTGGCCCCTCAGAATGACAGCTTTGTGGAGGAAGTGGTATTTTAATTGTTAGAAAGAACAATTTAGACCAATGGGGAAGGAAGAATGAGGTGGCAGGGACAGCCCTGCCCTGCATCTTGAGAAAGAGTAAAATTAGGAAAGGTGTCTAAGAGGAGAGAGGGAGCTCTTTACCAAGTATTACTTTTGACTCTTTATTCTGAATTCAAGGGAACCCCACTTTTCACCCCTAGGGGGGCCTATGGGATGAAAAGGTGGAATGGGAAGAAGGCTCCTAATGTCAGATCATTCTATAGATCTTCCTACCCTGTCTTCTCGGCAATCCTAGCAGGTAGGGAGACTGTTTTTTAAAAACTGAGTTGGTAGGGTAGGGTGGGGAAGTGATTCGCTTAAAACCACAGATTTAATGGCTGAGATTAGATCCGTCTGTCAAAACTGCTAAGGACTGCATTGCATCTAAACTAAAGACGCATGTTCCCTAACCCGAACCTTAGTCTTGTATTTGCCGTCTCACTGACACCCACGAGGATGTCTCTCCCGCATCGCGGAAGGATAGCGGCCAACGGCTTCCTGTGTGGGCATACTACTCAATCTCAGTCGGAGAGAGGGATGGGCCTGCCCCACCCCTGGGTCCAAAACCGCGAAGGCGGGTGAGAGAGGGTAGAGGGTAGGAGTTCAGCCAATGAGGCGGCGATATGCAAATATAGAAGTCCTTGCTTTCTTAGGATTGGCTAATCCATTAGCACTCCTGCCCAAATCCCTCCTCTCTGAACACAGAGCTATTCCGGGCGGGTGTTTGTGGCTCTAAAAACTAAGAGGAAAAAAAGTCTTGAGGATTTGGATCTGAGTTGTCCCAGCGGGGCCCCCGCTTCTCCTCCCCTATCCTACCCCTCAAGGCTCAAACCTCTGGAAACCTTCGCATTCTAGGTGTCTTCTCTGGCTAAATCCAATCCCCAGATTCCCAGTCTGAGAATTTGCCCCATCTCTCGACTGGCCTGGCTCTTCACTCGCTTCACTAGGACACTCCCCGGTTCCCACATCTCCGCTACACATTTTAAAAAAATCGTTACTTCCCACGTCTGGAAGGGCCGGCTTCCAGAAACTCCTTCCTGTCTTTCTTACTTGCTGGGGGGAAAGCAGTAAAGAAAGTCAGAGTCCTGACTCAGTTTCCCCATTTACATTCCCTTTTCCTGCACACCGCCCATGCTGAAAGAGCCAGCAATGGTGAGGCCATAGGTATAGGTAACGGACGGACGGAAAGAGGCAGCTGTTTGACCCTCTGCCTTACAGCTTCCCACCTTGTTCCCATCTTTCCCCTCAAATCCAGCAGCAGAACTCTCCTCGCTTTTTCTCCCGTCCTCACCTAATCTCTCACTATGGATCTCATGACATCCAGCAGCTTTCCCTGACCTACCTGCCAATTCCTTGCGATATGAATTGGACACATTTCTTTGGGGGAAGGGAGAACACAGGGGGAAGAAACACAATAGAATATCCAGGGATAGGGAGTGTCAAAGTGGCACGTCAGATGTCTCGGGCAGAGACTAGAAAGGAACTGTCTGCGCGGGTCCTGTCCTGGTGCAACCGCCCGGTGGCTGGGATCTCTGAGCGGGTAGAACCTGAAGGCAGCAGGATCGCGGCACCGAGTCCCAAGACTGGCTCTGGGTCCCCACCCTCTGGCGTTTGGAATTGCGCGGGGGACAGTCCCACTCAGCACTCACCACCACAGTCCACCGACGTGCGCGGGGCACAGGAGCAGCAGCAGCAGCAGCCCGAGGCGGGAGGGCACCGGCGGCAGCATCGTGAGCGCTCTACCGCAGTCTGGCACGGGTGAGGGGGGCGAGGCTGCGGGGTGAGCCGGGGCTCGCGGACCGCCGGGCTTTAGGGCAAGCGCGGCGACCGAGGCGGCTGCCGGGAGACGAGGGCTCCGCCGGCGGCGGCGGTGGCGGCAGGGGGGGGCCATCCCCGGCGAGGAGGGCGCGGCGGAGGCGGAGAGCGGACCGAGCAGCCTGTGTCTCCTGCAGAGCTCGCTGGAGAGAAGAAATCAGAGCCGGGGGCGGGGGTGGGAGGGGAGCGGGGCCGAAGCGTGGGCGGGGGAGGGGGACAGGGGGGCCACGGGGTGGCAGTTGCGACAGTCAGGCGGCGGGACTCCTGGGAAGGAGCCGTGCGCCCCGGGGCGGCGGGCGCAGAGCGCAGCGAAGGGCGGGAGCCGGGTGCTGGGGCGGGGCCCGCGCGCGCTCCTGGGTGCGGGACCCGCCCGCCTGCCCCTCTTCTCGCCTCTCCGAGGTTGTCCCCTGCCATCCCCCGGACCGCTGCGCTGAGTGGCGGGAGGAATAGTAGAGAAGAGTAATGGGGGAGGGGGGGAGAGGAACTGGGAAAGGGGGACTGGCTGGGAGAAGTTTGACAGGTTTGTTGACTGTAAAGAGAGAAAACTTCCCAGGAATGAGGGAGTTTGGGGGGGGGGGAGGGAACAGTGTGCAGAGAGATACAGATGGGGGCCAGTGAGGAAGTCCGCCCGGGACGCGGGATGCTCGCTCATTGAGGCTGTCCAACTCGACTGCCGGCCCAACACACTTCGGAGGCATTACTTTCTTGCGGATAGCTAACTCCGTGTTACTTGCCCCTTCTGCAGCCGCTGTCCCAGCGAGGGAGCCAGCTCGAGGCCTGGGTTCTAGTTCCCCAGCCACGCGTCCAGCCGGGGGCGGACACTGTGGGGGAGATAAGACTGCAAGTGGAGCCTCTCCAGGGCCTGCGCTCCAGCATTCGCTACTCATAAGTGAGATGGAGGGCCGAGCTTGCAGACTTCATAGAGAAGAGCGGTCAGCGCTTGCTGTAGTGGGGTCTCGCTTGTCCTCGGGTGCCTGCCTCGAGTTTCTCCCCCAACTTGGCCCGGGCAGAAGGGGTGGGAGAGCCAGCTGCAGGTGAGGTGGTTTATCTGATTCTCTAATGCCACAAAAATGTCTTTGATGCCCCTGACCCCCTCCCCACGCGGAAGAGATCAAAGGCCTCGTGGGGAGGAGGGACAGCTCCATTCATCAAGCCAAGCGGCTGGCAGCGGGGCGGCAGCCTCTGCTTCTCTGGCTTGGGGCAGAGGCCCCCCGACGTGCCCCAGGAGTGGCGAGGGACAGGTGGTGCGGACATTCCGAAGCAGGAGCCAATTTCTCTGCCACCACTATCTAGAGGACCCATCAACCTTAGACAGGGACCTTAAGCCCACGTGGCAGACATTTCACACCAGAGGGAAACGTTCCTTGTCGTTTGGGGTGGAATTTAGAAGTGGAAACTGAGAACACCGCCAATATAGACAAACACCACTGGTGGGCGAAGAGAAAGCAAGGTCCTGAGTCGTCCAGAGAGCAGGGAAAATGAGTGAAGATGAGATTTGGGGCCAGAAAAGAGGCATGAGAAGACCGCAAATGACTCCATCAGGACGGGGAGCAGATTGCGGAAGGAAGGTGAATGACCGACAGAAGAAGAGAGAAGAGGAAAAACCTTATCCTAGACACAAAAATAAGGCCTTGGATTGTCTGGAGACCCCCAAGGCAGGGCCCTGGTGTCGAAGATGTACCAGTGAAGTCCTTGTCCTGGGTACTGAGGTTTGAAGAGTGTAGGAGCACTCTGGGGAAGGAAGGAAGTAGGGAGGAGGGAGACAGCAGTGCTCAGGCAGATAATCGACCAACTGCGTTCCTCCCCTTCTAGCGCACGCTGCTCCAGCACGTAGCAGTTTTGTTCAGCCCTTGTATTAGGCAGTACCAAGGCTGAGCATAGCACATTCAAGGATATACCAGACTGGGTGAGTACTGAAGCTAGCTGGTGCCAACCTCGCATCTAAGTGGGCTTTTTTTGGGGGGGGGGGTCCCTGGAGGCTGCAGGTGGCCAATGACCAGCTCCCTGGGAGCCAGCGCCTCTGTTCCAAGCCCCTTATCCCCACCCTGCTACTGTTATTGCAGATTATGAAATACTCTCCCTGTCCTGCATTCTTCTCCGAGGCAAGAATTTTAATGTATTTATCTTTGTCATCAGGGGACCTGAGCTCTGGGATCGCCCTGAGGAGGGAGCGCCCCAAATCTAGTCTTTGCTGATTCCAGACCCCAGGCTCTCTCAATTATCCCACCCCCCATGCCCTAGCCCTGCCCCTTGCCTCCCCCTCCTAAGACACTCTCTCTCTGTGGGGTGGATAAAAATGATGTTATTGAAACAACAGAATTGGGAGCAGTGGCAGGGAGCAGGGATCAGCTCAGGAAACTGGGGCGTTTGCCAAGAAGCCTGCTCCCCCACAGGCGGCCCTTCTGCCCCCACCCCCCACCTTTCCTCTAAACACACACAGTTGGCCCCACCCCTCCTGCAATGTGCTCCAGCCAGATCTTGCAGCAGAATCTTTAGCCATCCCTGGACTCTCCAAGCCTTAGTCCATCCTCCCCACTCCCCCACCCCCAGCCCCACTCCAGAATCGGTTGGTAAGTGTTGCTTGCAGAAGCACCAGAGCAGAGAATGCTGAGGCCTGGGGCTGTGATGAGACAGTCCTTCTAGAGACCCTACGCCAGAGCTTTGGTCCCAAGGGGGAACCAGGGCTCTGGGGAGCACCCTGCCTTACCACTCCCTTTGTCCTTTGGTTGGATACTGGACAGACTCAAATCACTTTGTCTTTATGCCCCCTCAAACCTTCAGAGACCTCCAAAGAGCAGAGTTGAAGACTGAGACACAAACAGTTATAAACCTGTATGCACACATGCACACTCACACATATATCAGAGGGACACAGGTAAATGGACACCCTACGGAAACCACACCCTTGCCTCCCCTTCCACAGTTCTAGGTAATTCTCATGGGCAGGTACAGATGGGGAGAGCTGATGGGCTGGCTGGCGCTGAGAGTCACACCAGCCTCCCTGACAATCACACCCGTGTACACACAATCACACACGTACACATGCCTCTGTATAAACGCCTGTATAAAGAAACCTTGCTGGAGGTCAAAACGGAAAAGGCAGTAGTGTAGCAATGGCAGCTTGAGTTTAGAGACGATAGTCTGAGCGTTGGGAGCCTCCAGCTCCCCCTCCATCACTCTGCCTTAGCGCTGTGAACCTGTAAATTCCAATTCTAGGTTCTGGTGCAAAGACCCTGAAGGGGAGACGTGGGGTTGAAGAGGAAGGAGGGGCAGGGGTGGGGACTGTGAAGGGAGAGAGAGGCAGCTGGAGACAGATAACATCGCATCGCGCCGCTGCAGGCGAAAGCAGAGCCCTCCGTCTCCACTGGATTCTCTTTCCTGCCTTTAGTGTCTTCATGTCTCCGCCATGTACAGAATTTGGTCTCTAAATCATTCCACTGTGATTTTTTTTTCTTTTCTCAGGATGGCTGAGCTGCAGGAGCCCAGGAATTTAGGCCTGTGAACTTTCCCCTCTGAATAACCTTCATTCTTTCCTCATTCCCTCCTCCTCCTCTATGTGTCTAGCGGTGGGGTCTAACTCTCAGTTTCAGGAAGGACCTTGAGAACTCCCACAAGCCCTGGGTCTCTGGGACCCAGAAGAAAAGAGATAGGAAAGCCCAACCTTTAGAGAGATGGAGGGGAGAAAAAAGAAAGAGAAGGGAGAGAATCATTTCCTCTCCTCTGGGTATCCCAGGCAGCTCTATTCAACTTCCATACCTGGGCAATATATCCCCAGAGTGTGCCCATCCTTTGCCTTATCATACCTGCCTCACAGGCCCAGATCCCAAGGAGATTCCATCTGAGCCATTGTCTCCACAGATACTGACCCCACCTCAGAGCCCACCTCTTCCCATCTCTACCCTTTCTCTCCAGTCCAGTCCAATTGGAGCGAGAAATGACCTGCCCAGGAGAATCTTGAAATAGGGGACAGGGGCAGAGCACAGAGGTGCTGCTTCCCACCAAGGCTGTGTTGGGAGGATGCCAGAGAACACTTAGTTCGACCCCAGCAGACCAACAGGAGTTAGCTCAGGAGCCTCTGCAGTCATCTTGCCCCAGGCTGTCGCCTGCATGGGTTGTCCTTTGTTGTTTTGTCTTTGTTTTTATGATAGTGGATCTGATTCTCGAACTCAGGGCCTCAACCATTCCAGGAAAGCACATTATCTTTGCGTTTCATCCCACAGCCTAACTCCTGTGGTTTGGACTGGGGTGGGGGTGGGTGGCAGCCTAGTCAGAGCTCCAGAGGCCAGGTCCTCAGAGTCGGTCTCTGTCCTGTGAACTACTGATTGCTGGGTCTCTCACTCCAGCAGCAGGAAGTACCCTGTGCTGGGCAGCCAACTAAATAGTAGGGAGTCAATCGTTCTGATTAATCAAAAGAAAGAAAAGAAGAAAAGGAAACTATAGCCTTGACAGCACCTGGGAGGATGGAAGGACCTAGGAACGTGTTTGGGGAGCACTGAGCCACTCAGAAAACGATGCAGTTTCTCTAAAGAGGAACACGCTAAGATCTAAGAAGATAATCAGGAGACACAAGGAGGGAAGGGCATTTTAAACAGAGGGAACAGCTATTGTGAAAGTCCTGCTAGGGCTCTGGGGGATGGACAGGTGAGGCCAGTGAGCATGGGGGTGCACAGGTGGGGCCAGTGAGCATAGAGGTGGACAGGTGGGGACAGTGA